TGAGAAGACTCATGCTAAGGCACCAGTGGGGCTCTACCCTTCCCTTCCAAAAGCAGCTGTGATGCCGTGCTGTGGTGCACTCAGGCAGGCACACTCCTCTCCTGTTGGGCTGCATCCCTGCTCCTCTTCCAGCCACTCTGAACAGGCAAAACCCCAACCATGGCCATTGTGTGCACCTGTCCTGGAGCTGCTAGAACTGCTGCGGGCAGCTGGTGAGCACTGTGACCCCCAGAGTGCCTGTCGGTGTGCCTGTAAGGGCACAGCTCTGCCAGGTCTGAAACCATCCAAATCCACCTTTTTCCTCACTGTCTGCACGCTCAGTGATGGCACCACGGTGGGCCACCCCCTGAGCAGTGCCTCTCACAGGGAGAGCTGCCCTCTGCCATCAACACTAGCCACAGGGCTTGGGGCAAGGTTTGCCCAAGTAGAATTTTCTCTTGTTGTTCCCCCTGCTCCAGTGCCAGTTTTCCAGAAGAGCAGCCAGCAGAACTTGTGGTGATACTTTATTACATGCCCAAACCAAACCAGCAGATATCAGTTTTATTGAGAGTATTACCAGTTTCATTCTTTGCTTCTGGTTTTTAGGAAGGAAAATTTGTGTTTGCCAGAAACAGCTAGGCACATGTGTACACACCAAGTGTTCCTGAAAATTGATTTATGGTAATCAGGGAGTTTGCCTCAGATTTTAAAAAGAAATCCACCCTTTAGGGAGGAAAGACTAGATGAAGTGTCAGAGTTAACACCTGAGCTTACTGTAATCTTGACTTTGACAGAACAGTGTAGTTCACCTCACAGGTGGGCAAAATATCCTCTTCACTGTCTCAACTTAAAGATGCAATTAGTGCATTTTCATAGGGGACACAATCCTGATCATACCTCTAGCAGAGCAGGACTGATCCCACTGTGCTGCACACAGCCAGGTGCTGCAGAAGACCCTCAATAGACTGCAGAGGTGAGACCACAAATCTGCACCAGGCATAGGCAGCTGGGCCTCAATGAGATGTACAGACCTTACAAGGTTTGGCAAGTTTACTTCACCAAATCCCTCGGGTGACTTAGAAGGAACAAAGGGAGAACAAAAATAGATTGATGGACTGTGTCAGGAGAATTGCAAGTGTCAAAAATTTCTGTTGCTCAGGGCAGAGGAAGATGGAAGTGACTGGAAGAGGCCAGAGTTCAGGAGTGGATTTATAAGGCTACTTCTAGCACTGATAATATTACATTGTCATATCTACACGTGTGTTGCCAGAGTCAGGGTGACTTTATCCTCTGCTTTGCTTTTTTCCTAACAAGATTTTCTTAAAGGCTTTTTCAAAAGGCACCACATGGAGCATTGCTCAGGCAGGGCAGCCCAGAGACAAAGCAGGGCTGTCTGCAGCAGGGAGCAAGGGCAGCCTGCGAGCAGGTGTTGCTGTGGGAGAGGTGCACCCCTCTGGGGAGCACAGCACCCCACAAAGCACTCGAATTCAGTGTCTGTGCTGTGGGAGGGGGTCTGTTCACAGTGCTCGAGGGCAGGGGCAATAGAAGGACATAAATGCAAATTACTGTTATTATCTTCTCCTGCGTAAAGTAAAACCGAGATGAAGTGTGTGATAAACTGTTGTGAAGACAGGCTCTGGTGCTTTTCCAAAAATTGTTTCAGTTGATATCTCTGGAGCCTGCCCTCAGCAGACACCCTCTCTGGCATGAGGGGAGGACCTGGACAGAGAAGGCATAGCTGCTGTGCCTGAATGTGACCTGGCTCAGGTTGCTGTCAGCGGGCTGGATGGCCCCAGTTTGTCCACCCTCGCAGTGTGACCTGGCTGGTCTCTGTGCCTGCTCTGGATACACTCTCATGTTGGAGCAGATTTTATCCCATGGTGTACATTTGTTCTCTGGCAAGCTGGAAGCTACAATTTATTATTAAAATTGATTGGCTCCAGTGCAGGGAAAACGATCGCAAGGAAACCCTATTATGGTTTTTCATTATCACCATTATTTATTTTTAAGTGCTATTAATATTCCTGAGTCTGGACAAGGCAAAAGATGAGAGGTGGTATCCACCCCTGCTGCTCTCAACCTGAGGCCTGGCAGCACTGTCTGCAAGGGCTCTTGGAACAACTGAGCATATTGGAAAGTTTTTGCCCTCAGTCTGCCTCTGGCAAATGCTCATGGGAATAGAGCTGAGAAGCAAAAGAGTTTTGCATTGCCTGAAAATGATCCAGATACCAAAGGTGTTCCCAGTCTCCCCGAGGTGGAAGAGAGCTCTGCAAGCAGTGCTGGGCAGGCACAGGTGCAGCATGTGGCTCAGCAGGCACCAAGGGGGTGGGAGGATCAAGGCTAAGCTGGGCTCTGCTGGGGGTCTGTGCTTGGCAGCCCCAGCTTTACCCACTGGGGTGGGTGTGTTCTGTCCAGAGAGCACTGAACCCAGGCCATGTGGGTCTCTGTGTCTCAGATACAGTCCCACATTGCAACTGAGCCAGTGTCTCTCTCTCTAAACCAATGCTTCACTGGTCCTGAATCCGAAGTAGAATTGCTCCAACTTGGATGTGAAGACAAGAACGGGCTTATTTCAGAGGCTAAGCCAGAGAGTATCTCCAGCTGTTCCCACCAGCAGTGAACCAAGCCTGAGGAAACCAACAATCGAACATGACAGTCTCTTAAAAAAATAAAGCTCACTCTGGTCTGCAGTAGGAAGGGGTGGCTCTCAGCTTTTAGGGGGAGCACCACGGGAACCTCAATGCTCCCTTTCCAATGGGCTTGAGAAAAATGAAATTTTATTCACAAAATACTAAAATGGGCTTACTTGTATCGTATACTGGATAGGTTTTATTTTTTTTCTCCTCAGCAGTGAGCACGTTTTTCTTACTTCTGTGATGTCTCTAGCAGTAATCATGAGGTCTCTGATACAACTGAAGTTGAGAAACAAGGTATATTGTAACTCTTGGGACATTTTCTAAGGAAATATTTGTTCAGAAATAATATATTTCAGGAAATGAGCACAAGTTCAGGAAGACTGTGTTATGCAAGCTAGTTTCACAAGAGATGGTTGTTTTTTTGTTATTCTGTACTATTTCAGAGAATTCATGTACTAGTTTGTGATTGAAGCCACAGAGGCTCACATGGCTAATTGAGCTAGCTTTGTACCTACTGCTGTGCTGTCATTTGGGATGTGATGATTCAATCTGAAGGATTGCACAGGTCTGACTCGGATCACACTATTTATGCCATTAGGATTTTGTGACAAATTATGATCTGGACAGAGTATCTAGGTAGAAGATGTAATTTGTTTAGTCTTTGAAAAAGGAAGGTGTAAACCAGAATAAGCAGAAATTAAGCACTAGGCTTGTTAGAAGGGGCAGTCAAAGCTGGAGGCTGAGGCCGTTACAGAGCCAAGCTCCTGCAGCTGCTTTCCCCTGGAATCTCTGATTGTCAAATTGTTAGAGGTATATAAAAGACTGAGATGCTGTTGGTATCTTCTTTGCTCCTCATTCTTAATATTTGTCAGTAAATGACAGACTATTCTTGCAAAAATATTTTTAACTCATGATTTGCCAGTGTTAACTTCCAGTGGGGATGCAGATTATTTCAGTAGGCACCAATCCCCACCGTGAATTCAGCAGTTTGACTTCAGCAGGGGCTTGCGTGCGTGAGGAAACCTGTTTTTCAGCCCAGAAGCTCCACAGTTTTAGAGGTCAGGATGTAACTTCAAAGCACTCTTCAAAGGTTTTCAGATAAAAATAACTCTTGAAGATATGAGTTTGGCATCCCAGTCTATTTGATTGATGTGTCATTGCTTATGAAAGAACGTGTAGCTGGAATATATATTGTTAGGGACCTCTTCAAAAGCTTCTCCTCAGAGGGGGCTGAGCCACTGGTGTCTTGGTTCCTTGGTTTCCTTGGGCCAGCAGAAGGAGCCCCTGCAGCTTCTGGATCCTGATCTGTGCAGTTCCTATTTCTCAGTACAAAAGGTGGATGAGTATTTTTGCACCTCTCCCTTGAGCAGTTTTGTTACCCAGAGCAGGCTGGCACTTGGTAACAATAGGATTTATAGGAAGAACCTTTGTAAAGTAATTTGCCGTTTTCATTCCAATAACCATGGAATAGGTGGAGATATTGCACAAAATTCTTCACACGATCAGCACTGGTCTCGACAGAAACCAGGACTAGACAAGCACAGAAACAGAACATTCATATTACCTTCAGAAATACATCTTTCAGTTGTTATTAAAGGACATTGTTAGAGAAAAAAAGGGGGAAACAGGCAACTTCAGACACTTCTGAAAGTGAGACAGAGGAGTCTGTCCTCCCAAGGAAGCCTTTATCTAGCAAAATGCTAACAAGATGAGCTGGCAGACAGTCAAAGGCTGACAGGGGGATCTGGGAGTCTTTCTCACATCCCATCAGATCCTGCCTGGCAGGTGATCTGTGAGGCAGATTTCAAATTGCAAGCAGCCTTCAATAATGTAGAGCAAAGTAACATTCTGAAATGGAAAGGAGGGATGAGAGATGAAATAAGGTGCAATTCTATAAATAAGATTTACTACACCATTGTTTTTCATGTAAAAATATGTTTATTTTGTTCAGAATACATCTGGCCTGCAGTACCCCGGTTTCTCACAGTTCTTTTTTCCTTAGTCAGCAAAAAGCTACAGAAATGGATCAAAAGCAACTAATGAAGGTAAAAAATGTGGACAAGGTTGACTTTAGAGTTCAGTGAATTTCCACTCTACCTCATAGAGATACTAAATAGTTAAATTCCCAGCACTAGTGGGTGCTTTCAAAATGTAAGCTCTCAGTAACAGAATTTGCTGAGTTTTAACAGACAAAACCAAAGGTATTTTCTAACTTGTATTCTTCATATTTTTTATAGTTTATAATGAGTTAGAAAATTCAGCGTCTCACATCCTCTTCAAATTTGGAAGCTGACATGAATGGTCCTTTTTCCCTAGTTTGTCCTGTGCTGTGTGCCCGTGCGCTCATCTGCCAGCCCTCTCTAACTGTCCTCCCCTTTCTTGCAGCGTGCAAGAGGAAAGAACAAGAGCACGGGAAGGATAGAGGGAATACACCCAAAAAGCCTCGGTTGGTCTTCACTGATGTCCAGCGTCGAACTCTACATGCAATATTCAAGGAAAATAAGCGTCCGTCCAAAGAATTACAAATCACCATTTCCCAGCAGCTCGGGTTGGAGCTGAGCACCGTCAGCAACTTTTTCATGAATGCACGGAGGAGGAGTCTGGATAAGTGGCAAGACGAGGGCAGCTCCAATTCAGGCAACTCATCTTCTTCATCAAGCACTTGTACCAAAGCATGAAGGAATAACCACGAACTAAACCTCGGTGGAAAAGCTTTAAAAATAAATAAATAAATAAATAAATAAATAAATAAAGACAGACCAGGACCTCAAAATAGCAGGTTTATACTTAGAACTATTTGAAAAAAAAAAAAATATTTATAAGTCCAAAGAAACCAAAGACTTATTTCACCTGCATTATGACTTTGTTCTAAGACACACACTTTAGTAGGATGACGACTTGCAAAAAAACAGAGAGGAAGAAGAAAGCGAAACGGAGGGAACGAAACAGAATGCAAAGAGAAGAGAAACAGACCACTGGTCTTACACCTTTGCCCATTATCATCTTCACCGTACTTGGCTGTTTAGTGGTTTGGAGCATAGTGATTTCCTGTCATTGAACGGACATCTCTTTGGATACAGCTCTTCATTTCCACAGCAATCGCCATGAAGGTGTATAGTGTATCTGTACTGCGTACACACCGGTGGTTAGGGACTTAGTCAGGGCTGGTCTTCAGAAAGGGCTGTGCCATGGCACAGCTGACAGAGCGTGGAGTCGTCCGAATTCCTTTGAACGGTAGTGTGATTTTTGCTGTTTCACAGTTTGAACTTAAACCGGTGCGATGCCCAGGAACAAGTTCAAACTAGGCAAAGAAATTTTGAATGGTACCTAAACCAGTGCATTCTCTTTGTTTGTTAAGGAATGTTCAGATTTAAAAAAGGAAAACTATTCCATCCATAAAAAAAAAAAAAATCGACTAGCTACCAAAGAACTCATTTAATAATTATATTGCAGGTATTTTATTGCAATGATTTTAATATTCCAAAGCTATTTTTACACAAAATACTATGTAGAGTTATAGGTATAAACTAATCTAACTGTATAACACATAAAACTTGTAATCAAGACTGTTATTTGCAATTAGTAAAACCACATTATCGTTTCTTTCCATGATTGGCAAGAAAGAATGTCACCCGAGGAGATCGCAGCCCCTGGCAGAGCACAGGTACTGGGGATGGGATGCTGCTTCCGTTGAACTCAGTGGGCCCTTTTGTCACTGACTTCAACGGAAGCAAAAAAAAAAGGAGCCACGAGTTCCAGCCGTGCGTGAGGCTGCGGGAGCCGCCGCGCTGCATCCCCAGGTGCTCTCCCAGGCTGGCGGTGCTGCAAGCTCGGCGCGGACCGTGCGCTGTGTTTCAATGTGGCTCAGCTCTGCCATCTAGCCTGCGAACAGGAGACCTGAGGCACTCAGTATGCAAAAATGAAACGAACTGAGAGATGCAAAACCACAGGGCTCAGTGTCTGATCAATACTCATTGACATTAGTGAGCTTTTTTTTACCTATTGACTTTACCAGGCAAAGGAATAGTAATAGCTTTGAAGGCTTGTGGTCTTTTCCTGTTGAAAACAGTGGTACAACATCAGTTAATGTTGGTGGGAAGAGCTCCAAGAGGAGCTCTAGTAGTGCTTTTGGAAGGAGAAATTGTGATCCCTCTGAAGTCAAGAGCAAAATTCCCATGATACTGAGATACTGCCTGATGTTTTGTGGCTTTGTATCTGTGTGTAGCAGGCTGAGCTTTTGTCCCATGCATTCTTTCTTGCTCATCTATTAGTCAGGATAATGCATGAAATAGTTTAAAGTTTGTAGCTGAAAAGCTTTATATACTCTGTTGCTAACAGACCCATAGGAGAAAAATCATCCCATTCCTACTCTGATAAAATTAAAAAGAAAAGCGTGGAACATCTGCGTATTAAATTTTAGTGTAAGGGGAAAATAGACTTTAAAAACCATACATGTGCCTGTTAGATTTCTAACCGGTGTTTCAAATTACTGTAGTAATTATGCTAGGTATATTAAATTCCAAAGTAACCAAATATGCAGTCATAGGCCCAATGCAAGGACTAGAAACAGATAATCTCAATTACAACCTTTTTTTTTTTTTTTTAATTAAAACAAGAAAAGAAAAAGGAAAATTCAAGGTAAACTAGAATCCAAACGCTACTAACTGTAGCAGATACTGGTTTAGGGGATGAAGCCCACTCAAAATACCAGTGACACCAAAGCTGAGCAACTTTGTAGCACCAGTTACTTCCCGAGAGGACAGGGTCTAGTCAAGGTTCAGGATATACAGGTAATTTCCACTAAGTGTTTAGACTACAGATGAAATATCTCTTTATTAAAATAAAGTAAAATAAAACCAAGGTTTTTGGCATTGAATATTTCTCCATATTTCAGTATATTAAACCCACTTTAAGACTGACAAAGCAATAGTCTAGGAAAACGGAATCTAATCTAGGAGCTTTTTGAGTCTCTAGCTTACCTTCAATTTTAGCAAGCTTTCTTTTGAAGTGTTCCATCCCCACGGACACATTGACATGGAAACATTAGTAAGCTCACCTATAAAGTACCTTATGAATGCAGTCTCACTAGTGCAAGGTTAATAAAGGACAGTGATAACTAACGGTTTAGTTTTTTCCAGCAAACGCTGCTTTGTAACGTACCTATAGTTTAGAAAAGAAAGCCTTATTTATTTAAAACTTGAGAATTTAAAAATGCAGGGAAATTCAAAGTACATTGCCGCATTTTTTAGTATTTTCATTGTATTGTCTTTATAGACTACTTGCTGAAACCAAAGAGAACTTTCATACCAGCATTAAATTTGCACCCAATATGCAATTTCAGGATCTCTGATACACACACATGCAAGCCCCTAAGTAGGACTGTGTATATGTACATGCACACACATTTTTGTGGGGTGTATGTATGTATACATGTGCACACACATGTCCACACACACTAAAACTGATGCACAAGTTATAGATTTTAAGTGTTTTGGGTTTTTTACATGTCTATTTAAGTATATATAAACCTTTTGGTTTTCTATAAGCCATTAGGAACAAACCACTCTTCCCATAAGCAATATGCGCCTCATACTCTGAATAGGCAAAGAACACACTTTTCTTTGATTCCTCTCAAAACATGAAGCAAATAACTATGGAACTGCTCATTCTATCTGTAAAGCTGTGTTACCTCTGAGCAGACTGCCCAGCTGCACCGACTGAAGCATGCACAGGTTACCTGGTGCTCCCTGGCTCTGAGTGGTGCCATTACTCAACAGGGCACCCTTGAAGGGGAGCTTCTCCTAATGCTGCATTTAACATTGCACAGGAAACCTGTCTCTGTCCTGTTAGCGTCAGTCTTTTGGTTCATTTCATTCCTGACTAAATGAAAATCAGTTTCAAATGCAACAAAAAGCACCTAAAACTCTGCCAGGAAGGGTTAGGAGAGGGAGCAGAACCTGAAACAGTTTGGGAGCATCAGGAGATGGGGCTTCAGTCAAAGGTGACCCCACGGGCAAGAGGGCATTAGGAACATGCATTCAGCTCACAGGCTGCATCCAAAACTGACCGCAGTGACCCACAAGGGGAGGCTGGCCAAGAGGTGAACTGTCCGCATCCATTCCCATTGTAAATGGCATTATTAGATTTCCAGGAAAACAAAAAAAAAAAACCAAAAACAAAAAGGAAAAAACTAAAAACCAAACAAAAAAATTCCCATTCAGACCGACCCACACCACTCCGTTAGCCCTGCGTGGCTTCCCAGGGCCGCAGCCTCCTCTCCTTACTCAGGTAAAGCAAACCCAACCAGAGCGAGCCAGCCAGCAACGGGGCTTTCGCTTGAGAAGTTGCTCCTGCACAGCCAGTGCCAGGAGCAAATTCCCAAGCAGCTGAGTGGCCAGGGCTGCCCTGGCATGAGACCAGCCCCAGGGCTGCCCATGGGCACTGTTCTTCTCCCGAAATTTCAGGATAAGGACGTGGTGGTGGTGGGCGCTGCCCCAGGGGCTGCTGCCCAGAGGGCTCGGAAACACTGCTGAGCTTATACCAAAGAGTCTTAGGACACCTCTCCTCACCTGAGTTGTAAACAAGACATTTTTACCCCCCAAAACAGTCCTTCTTTCTACTACTTTTCCTCCTATCCTCCTCCTCTTCCTCCTCCTTTGTACATAGGGATGAAAACTATGCATTTAGCAAACAAAGAGAAAGCACTTACCCTTTTCTATCTCACTGCGTTTGGGTGCATTCAAAGGCCCAGGGGCTAATTTTGAGACTTTGCTTAGCCTCCTGGTTTATTATTGTGGTGTGGTTAGCTTTACAATACATTTGGTAACTATTTGCTAAAGACAAAGAAGCAAAAGGTAAGGAATAGCTACTTCCACGTGTTAAAAAAAGAAAAAAGAAAAAAAAAAGAAAAAAAAAGTGTGTAAAGATCTACTATTTATAGTGTGAACCAAAGACGCTACCTCACTCGATTTCCATTGGTGATTTTAATCACATTGATGATACCAAAGAATACCAAAGATTTTTCATGCACGGCCTTGGTCTGGAAAGGGAACTCATCCTCCTCCTTAACCCCATTCCCCTGATCCCCCTTCCCCACCTTCACTCAGTGTGTAACCTTGTCTTCATTCTTAGTGGTAATGCTAATAACCTTACGAATACTTCTCTTGCTACAACTGCTACTACTGACGATGATAAGGATAATAATAATAATAATAATAATAAAGCTCTAGGCAAACATGTTGCAAACTTTGTAAACTCATAGGACGAGTGCCTTGCTTGAACCAAAGTGTTAAACCGCTGTTGACCTCTTTATCTCTCACCTTATACTCTTTGAATACCTCAGCCTGTTAGAAAGGCCACTAATGAAAAAAAGGAATAATTCTTCACCGTGGTGCTTTTTGCCGTGCAACCATGCAATGAAACTTTCTTTGATACCAAAGGAAAATGATTATTTCCACTTTCTTGCTGACAAACCAAAGGTTCCCTCTTCTTTCCCCCAAAGCAGCTTGAGTCCCTCAGCCCAGACAGGCCGTGCATCGCTTTTACCAATTCCTCCAAATACCTCATAGTAATAAATCTTTAGGGTTATGTTGTATAGAGAGTCTATGTGATAAGGCAGAACTTACTAGTTTGATAATTGTTAAGGTTACTTAAAAAAAAGCTTTATAATTCTTATTTATTTTGTAGGGGTTGTTTTGTTTGTATATTCCTTTTATATTGTTTGGTTTGGGTTTGGGTTTCTTCTTTTTTCCTTTTTTTTGGGGCATAACTTCTCTGTTATACTCAAGGAAGGTCTTATTCCTGGGAATGTTTCAAAGTGGGTAAAGATCGCTGTTTGCAATGAATGCAAGAAAGGGAAACATGGCTTTGATTACTTTTGTTTCAACTAGGATGCTTTGTGTTTGCTAGTTGATGTTCTTTTCACAGGGTAAAAAAAAAATATTCTCTGCTGTGATAAATGGTTCCTATTTTTTCTCTATAATGTGCTGTGACTTTTAATTTAATTACATTTTGTATACACTTATTTAATCACTGCTTTAATTTATGACTATGTAGTTTAAAAAAAAAAATTGTATATAGTAGATTCAAAAATGGCCAAAGCTTTATGTTACAATCTTTTCATTCTTGATGCCGAGATGAACTGAAGGAGAGTGCTTCTCTTGACTGCAGGGTGTATCTTCAGCCTTGTCTTGGCATGCACTTCCACCTGTGTTACAAACACTGCCAGGTTACCCCCTCCAGGCCTCCCTTCCCCCCAACTTGTACATGCCAAAATGAGTGTTTCAAGGTAGTACTTTCGTCACTTAGAAAGCAGAAAGGCATTATTAGTGTGTTTTTCCTTTAATTTATTTGTCTTTTTCTAGAAAGGTTGCTTTGTGGGTGAGACCCACACATCCAAAGAATTTAAAAGTCGTTTAATGTTTAAAAAGCACTGGCATTTGTGAGAGATTTTGCTGAGTTTTTGTTTTCCTTCGCCATTCGCACGGGTAGCGCAAGCAAGCGGCGGGCGCAGGCCTTGGGAGAAAAGCTGACTTGACTCTGGAATCCTTGCTATGGGAAGGCCTTTGTGGCGGGCGATGGGATGGCGCGGGCTTGGAGAGCTCTCCAGGGCTGGGGCCACCGGTGGGACACCACCGGGTCACCTGCTCTCCAGCCAGGGCCCGCAGGGGACGGGACAGGGTCCATGGGGTGCAGCTGAGTCCCCCAAGAAGTTGCAGCTTCATCCAGGTAGAGCTGTGGTGCCTCGGGGGCAGGTGAGCACAGGGGGACCTGTGCTGTGTTCCTCCCAGGGGCCCAGGCACAGCCCCTGCCCCGGTGCCCCCACAGCTCGAGGGGCGACAAGGCGGTTTTGAGTCGAAAAGCAAAAAGAAAAGGATAATGACAATGGTAATTCTGCAAAGCTGATGATGATGGCATCATGGCACAGAGAATAGGATGCCACTCGCCTGTGTTTTATTTTGGATAAAGAATAGGTTCTGTTTCAAATGAGTGTTGTGTACTGACACAGTTTGTGATGGCTGTAAATATTTCCTTTCCCGTGCAGTAGGTGAACCCCAGGTGTACCTCATTTTCCTTTGAGGGGATAGTGAAGGGGTTGAGGGAGGGAAGGACAAGGGCAGGGTCTAAGCTTTTGGTCAGAAGTTACACTTTCTAGGTACATTTTTTATACTTCAAGTATTGAAATGGGGCAATAAAGACGCTCTGAAATGCAGGATCATTAAATGGTCTGTTGTTGTGCATTGGCTCAGTGTCTGCTTTTAATACAGGGGCTAATGCTGTGGAATGAGTTATGCTTCATGTGGAGGGGGAGGCAAAGTATTAGTCTGTGAATCCAGCATGAGCCATCGAGCCCTGGACAAACTGTGCTTAGGGAGCCGCGGTTTCCTGTCCTATTCCGGTAGTTTGGTATTTCACGGAATGTTCTGCATTTTCTGCATCCTCACTGTGGGGCCGCGTTAGTTTTGCAGCCTGAACTGAACAACAGGGAATGTAGGGTACAGCCTTGTCTTTGACTCGCTCGGGTCTGCGCACCCCCGCCCGCAGCCCGGGACCCCCGGGACCCCCCGGAACCCCCGCCCGGCGCGCCCTCCCCCGGCTCCCGCCGCAGGGGGGGCGACAGAGACAATCACAGGTCCCAGCTCCATAGGGGTAGGAAATCTTCCCAGAGCAAGCGGGAGTTCTTCCAGAGCAACGGAACAAAACCAAAAAAAAAAAAAAAAAAAAAAAAAAAAAAAAAAAAAAAAAAAAAAAAAAAAAAAAAAAAAAAAAAAAAAAAAAAAAAAAAAAAAAAAAAAAAAAAAAAAAAAAAAAAAAAAAAAAAAAAAAAAAAAAAAAAAAAAAAAAAAAAAAAAAAAAAAAAAAAAAAAAAAAAGGGAAAAAAAAAAAGAAAGGAAAAAAACCCACAACGAAAACAAAGCGAAGATTTTGCTAAAGCCCTTTGCTGCCATCTTTAGTTCGCCCATTAGGAAGCAGCAGTAGTTTATGCGTTGCATCTGCATTTCAGACTAAGTGATTATTGTACCTAATTACAGTTGATTGCTGATATTTCCTCACTCTCTCTCTTAGTCAAGCGCTTCTTCTGTATTTTTGTGTGTAGCGATGACAAGTGCAGTGCGCTAGGCATTGCCCTGGGTTGGGTATGAGTATCTCCTGTACTGCGTTAAGATTTCCTTAAGTTACTTTTTTTAAGCTTTGCTACTGTTCTCACTTTATGCCGTGCAATATCATCTGCTGTGTTTGCTAAGCGAAAAGAAAAAAAAAAAAAAAAAAAAAAAAAAAAAAAAAAAAAAAAAAAAAAAAAAAAAAAAAAAAAAAAAAAAGAGAAAAAGGAAAAAAAATAAAAAAGCAAGTGATGATGTCATCATGCTTTTCAGTGTTACAATGTTTCAGCGTTACAATGTTTCAGCGTTTATGTAGTCACAAAAATGTAGTAAATAAAAGGTTGGATTTTCCAGCACTTTAAATTTAGACATTTCTTTGCCTTCTTTTGTTCCTCCGTGTGCAGCCACCGGGCACTGGGCTGAGATGAGGGCAGCCCCAGCTCTCCCATGGGGCGGGCAGCATTCGGTGGAGTCATGGGAGGGACATCCATGGAGGGGGAACACTAAAGGGCTCTTCAGGCTTCACGGCACTATGTCTTCTTCCCTCTATCTGTGCTGAGGTCTGCAGCCCCCAGCAAGCACCCTGTGCTCCCCAGCCCGTCCCGTCCCATCCTGGCATGGTGGGCTCTGGGGAGACAAGCACCTCGTGTCTGAGGGGTGAGCACGGTTCATACCAGATGCATTTCTCTAATTGAGGAAAAAAAAACATTAAGAAAATAGGTGAAGCAAATAATCTTGGTTTCCTTTATATCATCTAAGGGTATGGATGTCACCAAACTAATTCACAGAGGTGTTTCCTTCTGTGTGATGGAGTCCACCCCAGGCCTGCAGGATCAATATTTAATTGTTTAAAGGGATATTGTATTCCTTTCCTGTCACTGTTGTTAATGCCTCTGCGCTCTGTAATCCCACGGGGTCTTTTCCTGGGGATCTGATCAGAGATATTACCCATCACTCGGGAGTGGTGGGAGGAGAGTCCCAGCCATAAAAGATTCAGCAATGCATTGAACCGTTTTCTCTCTATCTCCTAATGAAGTGATGAAGCGTGTGCCACAAAATTTAACAGGGTTTTGTAGCAAATCAGGTTGCACTGCTGAGAGGAGGATTAAACCTTCATCTTTGTCCCATAAATCATGGCATCAGCTACATTTATTCTGATGGATGGTCTGGACTCTGCTGACAATATTTTATCTCTGGAAGTGCCTGCAGCCTGTGCCCTGATGTGCAATTTCTTTTTGCTGCTAATCTGAGAGGCAGTGAGCATACCCCTTTGGAGGGCTCCCCTCATGTTTGGTGTCCCAAGACAATGCCAGAAGCCAAAGCATCACCAGGAACCCATGGCCAGGGCAAGCACAAAGGCACCAGGAACCCATGTCCTTAGGCACTCCTGGCCACCCAGCCTGTGCTGTAGGAACAGGCAGTTGCAGGCAGGGACAGCTGGGGTGCCCTGGTGCACAGTTTCCCATTTACTTCATCATATTAGAACTTTGTATTTGAGATACATTTAACTCTGGTGTGTGCACCATTTCTGTCAGCATGCTCAGGGGAGCCAGCTGGGCTTACCATAGGTGCCCACAACCCAAACACCAACATGAGCATCCCAAACTTTATTTCCTGAGCACTGGCAGAAAGCAAGGAACACAGAGACTGGAGCAAAGCAGAGGAAACCAGCTCCCCAGAACTGGGAGTTGCTCTTTGCCTCAGTTGCACCTAGACCTTCCCAAGGACAAAGACAACAGCAGCAGCTGAGAGCTGCTTTCACCCACCACGGCATGAGGCCACTCTTGGTGGCAGCACTGGCAGCACAGGTGATGCAGCAGCTGCAGCCCATTTGTATGTGATGGTCC